GAGGGAAGGGGGAGGGGCATAAGGGGAGGGGGGAGGGGAGAAAGGGAGAGTATTGGAGGCCAGCCTGAGTTATACAGTGAGTGCAAAACCAGCCCAAACTAATAGCTAGACCCTGGCTGAAAAAACCAAAACTAAAATGAACAACAAAATCTGGGCAAAAACACACGGCAGCAGTTTGCAATAAACATCCTGATACTGCTACTTTAGAGTTGTTTGTTTCCCACACAAACCTTCCCTATCAAGTAAGAGAATCAGGTCAGCCCGTCAGCTGCATATATAGGGACTGTCAGTGACAGACAACCAAATAAATGATTTTAAAAAAGAAAATTCTGGGACCTGAGAGATGGCTCAGTGGAATAAGCGCTTCCCTGGCAAGTACAAGGGCCTGAGTTCAATCCTAGGTTCCACAAAAAAAAATAATAAAAAAAAAAACAAACAAAAAAGAAAATTCTACCTGGCTTTTAGCTGCTGCTCCAATTGAACGATTCTTAGGACCAAAAGAAATGCAAGCCCTAGAAGATAAAACAAACATTTAAGAATATTATTACAGTGTGACATTCAAAACCACAGCAAGACTTGCGAATCTCAGCTTAAAAGTCATAGATTTGTCAGTGCGTAAAACACAGCATGTCTGTAACGAGAACCTTTGTGCTTAAGTACACCCCTCCATGGGGAAGGGCTGCCCCCATGTAAAAGCGAGTCCAAGTGTGAACCACCCGTCTAGAACACTAGAGGAAGACAAGCCAGCCCTCACCACCCCAATCCTGTAAGTCTCTCCTGAACACATCTACAAAATGCTGTTCTTGTTAAGACAGCTCGAAACTTCACCAAGAATATGGTCTAGAAACACTAAAAAACAATTCTGTGAAACTAATGAATATTAAGAAAAAACACTTACTCCAGAGCTAGCTTCCAAGGACTCAGAATTACTGACAAGGAAGTTCATTCTCACTTAAGTTTATTCTAAATCACCCCCACACAAACCGGTTGTTTGGTCTATTTACTGATTTTTTTAGATGGGAAAACTGAAACCTAGGCCAGAGAGATGGCTCAGTAGAATAAGCGCTTGCTTGCCTGGCAAGTGCAAAGGTCTGAGTTCAATCCCCAGTTCCGCAAAAAAATAAACCTAAAACCTACTGAAGTTGTGAAAACAGCATTTAAATTTGAAAGCCAGCTGTACTGAAGCTGATGCCTTTACTATCACAGCTTGTTTTTCTTTCTAATCTCTGTGCACTCTTTACTCACATGGCTTCCTTTCCAGTAGTCACTTTTGCCCACTAAAAATGGGACCTCTTTCACTTTTCCTTAATTTGCTTTTGTTTCTTGTGATAGGCTCTCCCTATGTAGTTCAAACTGTCCTTGAACTTACTCTGTAACTCAGGACAGCCTCAAACTCATAGAGAGCTCCTCCTGCCTCAGCCTTCCAAGTGCTGTGATTATAGACATGCACTACCATGCCCAACTTAATTCACTTACTTCACCAAAAAAATTCCAAGAGACAAAACTCTTTAGTCAACTGCTCCATCAAGTTAATAAGCTTCAGGGGGCTGGCCAGATAGCTCGGTGGATTAAAGAGCCTGCTTAGGCAGATGCAGCAGCCTGGGTGGATTCCCCCCAGCCCCGCCCCATGGGCAAGCTGAGATAGCTACTGAGACTGGGTTTGGTGGCATGTGCCTGTAATCCCAGCTCTTCGGAAGCTAAAAACAGGTGGATCACTACTACAAGTCCAATCTACATAATGAGACCCTGCACGAAAATACAAAAAAAAAAAAAAAAGGTATTATGTATATTTACTTAGGTCATGAGATCTGGAAGCAATGGAGAAAAGCCTCTAGAATGTCTCCAGACACTCCAGCTTTGACACTATCTTCCCTGAACCCTTACTTCTTCCCATCTAGCAAACTGAAAAGGGGGCCCAGAGCGGAGCACCACCCCACAAGGCCACGACCCCAGGCATTCACACCAAGGCAGGAGAATGACACCTGCAAGGGCAGCCTGGGACACTCAGCAAGTGCTCAACACCTAAGTGTTTCTTTGTATTGTTTTGAACGGGGCAGATACAGAACATTTCCATCATCACAGAATATTCTGTTAGATAAAACATCCTCCAGGGTAACATTCCCTGACTATCACTCTAGACCACATCTATGGCACTACACACCTGGACGGCACCACACTCCAATGGCATGCACACCAACCAAGTCGCCCAGCATCACCTTGGCAACTGAGCACTCCACAGCAGTGCACGCAGGGACAGTGTGGGCCTTTGCAATAAATAAGATGGTTTTGGGTGGCAGATCAGGCACTCAGTCTCTGAAACATTTGCCATCACTGATCTAGACAATATTCTCCTGGAATCCAATGAGTATTTTTACTTGTAAAATCTCCATCTGGGAAAAAAAAAACAGTGTGGGGCAGGGAGATGGCTCAGTGTGAATAAGTGCTTCCCTGGCAAGCACTAGGGCCTGAGTTCAATCCCAGATTCTTCCAAAAACATAAAAAATAAATAAAAAATAAAATAAAATAAAATCTCCATCTGCCTTCTTCACAGTAATGAGAAGTATTCCACGTATCTCAAAGAGCCAAGTAAGTCTCAGTTCCAATTATTCAATTTTCTTTATTTGACCTAAGCATAGACATGGCAAAAAGTGAAGCCATCAATGGAGCTTCAGTCTTTACCACGTAACAGCAATTCACCTCTAACAAGGCCTATAGTGCATAATGTGAAAATGTCACACTTTTTTTTTTTTATGGGGGGGCAGCTCAGCCCACCAGGGGGCGGGGCTGGCTGGCATGTGGTGCTGGGGGATTGAACCTCGGTCCCTGTGCTTTGCTAAGCTTGTTCTAAGTAGGTGCTTTAGACCACTGAGCCATCGCACCAGCCCTGTCACACTTTTCTTACCACACTATACAATTACTAATTACAGATGTTACACTAAAGTATATCATTACATCAATTTTTACATCCTTTGTTTTCCTTTTTTTACATTCTAAAAGTTCTGTAAAGGGCTGGGGAGATGGCTCAGTGGAATAAGCACTTCCCTGGCAAGTGCAAGGGCCTGAGTTCAATCCCCTGTTCCGCCAAAAATAAATAAATAAAGTTCTGTAATAAACCCACTACTAAAAAAAAAAGCCCAGCAACATAGCTCAGCGTACTAAAGCTCCTACTTAGGCAAGCTCAGGTAAACACAGGGACCAGGGTTCAATCCGTGGTGCCACACCAGCCCCAGCCCCACCCCCAGCCTGGGCTGAGCTGAGTCTGGGGCATAGTGGTGCTTGCCTGTAATCCTAGCGCTGGGGAGGCTGAAAGCAGGAGGATCACTACAGGTCTAAGCTGCATAGTAAGACCCTGTAACAACCAAATACATTTTTAAAAAAATATTTAAAATCAATAAATAAGCCCACTACTACAAAAAAATTGTTTTAATAAACTATTATACTAGAAAAAGAAAAATCTTTCCCCTGTGGCATCAACTTGGGGGAATAAAAATGCCAGAGTAAGGCAGTGTGAACTACGTGGCTCCTGTTTAATCTCTGAGATTCCATTTGCTCATCTCTAAAATGGGAGAGATTACAGCACCTACTTTGTTTGGTTTTTGTTTTTGTTTTGTATCAGAGATCAAACTCAGGACTTTGCGCATGTCAGGCAAGCACATATGCCACTGAGCTATCTCCCCAGCTACAGCACCTATTTTACAGGACTGCTACAGATTAAATCTGAGGAGACACTTTTAAAGGGCTTATATGAGAGAATGGCATATAATAAATAATATAAACTATCACCCCAATGAAGCTCCAATGAAGCAAGGACGTTTCATACAAAAACAGACAAAACTAGATCATTCTGGGGCTGGTGAGATGGCTCAGTGGTCTAAAGCACCTACTTGGAACAATTAGCGAAGCCCAGGAACCAAGGTTCAATCCCCCAGCACCACATGCCAGCCAGCCCGCCCCCTGGTGGGCTGAGCTGGCCACACACACACACACACACACACACAAATATAAATAAATAAATGTTATTTAAAAAAAAAAAAACTAGATCATTCTGAAAATTGTTTTCACTTTCTCAACCTGTCCTCTGAAATCTTAGTAGCCAACAATTATCTACTCACTTTAAAAAAAAAAAAAAAACCTACTTTCATTAAGAAAAGTAGGGCTGGCCAAATAGCTCAGCAGATTAGAGCACCTGCAAGCAGGCGCATGGGCCAGGGTTCAATGCCCTGGCCTGCAGTGCTTGCCCCACCCCCGGGGCATGCTGAAACAGCAACTGAGACTGGGCATGGTGGCACGCACCTGTAATCCCAGCTCTTGGGAGTTTGATCTAAGAGTGAGACCCTGAATACCCTGTAGACCCTTCTCCAAAAATACAAAAAAAAAGAGGGGCCAGGGAGATGGTTCAGTAGAATAAGTGCTTCCCTGACAAGTGCAAGGGCCTGAGTTCAATCCCCGGTTCTGAAAAAACAAAAAAAAAGAAAAGAAAAAGGTAAAAGTAAATGGAACAGTATGATCAATTCACTGAACTCAGTCAACACGTAAAGCAACGAAGTTAAGTGTTTTGAAACTGATAGGGCAGGGGCCGGGGAGATGCAGGGCCGGAGAGATGGCTCAGTGGAGTATGTACTTCCCTGGCAAGTGCAAAGGCCTGAGTTCAATCCCCGGTTCTGAAGAAAAAAAAGAAAGAAAGAAAGAAAGAAAGAGAGAGAGAGAGAGAGAGAGAGAGAGAGAGAGAGCGAGCGAGCGAGAGAGAGAGAGCGCGCAGGCCAGATAGCTCAGCAGATTAAAGCACCTACTTAGGCAGACGCAGGGAAGGGGTTCCCCAGCATGCTGTGCTGGTATCCCGTGATTGAGACTGGGCATGACGGTGTGCGCCTGTAATCCCATCACTTGGAAGGTTGAAAACAGGAAGATCACTACGAGTTCGATCTGTGTAGTGAGACCCTGTAGACCCTGAATTAAATACATTTAAAAAAAGAAACTGAAAGGTTACAAAAGGCACCTAATACTTAAATAAGTAGAAAGCCTTGAAAGATAATTAGGGCCAGAGAACTCAAACTTTATTTTTTTTTTTTCTTTTGGTGGAACCAGGGATTGAGCTCAGGCCCTTGCACTTGCCAGGGAAGTGCTTATTCCACTGAGCCATCTCCCCGGCCCCAGAGAACTCAAACTTAATTCATTTTTTTGTGTGTGTAAACTCATGGGGAGGATGAAAACTCACAACCTCCCCCTCCTCCCCTCTGCAGGAAAGAAATGAAAAGAGAAAAGGTATCAAGGAAGAAAGTAAAGATTATCTGAAGTTCCACAACCCTCCCCATCATGGATGGCCAACTATTAGCATGTAGGTAAACATTCCTTGCAATCCAAATAAATCCAGTCCTAATAAGTCCTGGGGGCGGGGGGGAGTGAAGTGCTGCCAATACCCTGCTCAGTTTGCCTCTCCTCCGTAAGTGCTCAGCATTTTGACATGGACAAGCATGACAAGAATATGTAAAGGAGGGGTCAGGGAGATAGTTCA